GTGCAAATTATGTTTATAATTGAAAAAGTGTGACCAAACAATGCTTTTTCCAACTATGTGCAAAGCATGTGTAAAGCATTCTGACATTTTTTTCTATTCTATTTTTTAAAATGTTGATTACAGTTCATTACACTTCATTGCATAGTATATACTCATGAGTTGGGAACCAATGTTTGAAAAACATAGTCCTAGAATTCAGGCTAATCGTATTTGAAATAATTCAACTTACATTTCTTACCTGAGAGTCTATCTTCCCAATGCAAGTCACTCCCCCTTATTAACTAATGCATTTTAAGAGAACATTACTAAAATGTGACCATTTTTCTATAGCAGGTGCACTACCCCAGATGCCTCAATATTTCCCCATTTAAACAAAACATAACCTTCATTTCAAATAGCAGCAATCTTATTCTGAGAAAAAATAATAAAGATTGAATCAAGTAGTCTTTCCTGGCAATGGAAAATATGTGTTGTTTTTCAGGTGGGTATCCAAGTTTGAATTATATTTAGCTTTTACCTTAAAAAAATCTGTGATTCAAGCAGCTCTTTTAAAAGTAGACATTCCAATGCTCTGAGAGGAAACTTGGGAAGACATTAGCACCGTACTGTGGTAAATTTTTTTAAAAACTTGTAAAAATACCTACCATATTTTGTATTATTATCTATATTGAAGCAGCAGTTGAAGTCCTGACAGCCATATTTGATAAACCTCTCCTAAAATTTGAAACCATTATTATTTAACACAATTTTTCTAGGCTAGGTTTTGCTATAATTCATTCTGAAAGTACCTGGTTATAGCACTTGCTTCTGTCCTAAAATATATTATCATAGCCTATTTAAACTGCTTTTCAGATTCTAATACCTTTAAACTAAAGCAAGCGTTGCTTTAAAGGAGAAAAACTGTATTAATTTTGTCAATATGGAGAAAGGCTATTTTCAAAACAGATTGTTTAATGTGGAAGAACTTAATATACAACCTATTAGAAGTGAGATACAAGCCCTTAAAAATGTTAGGGACTTTTCGTGGTTTAAAATGAAAGTTCCATTCAGGCTTAGCTGAGCTTATAGCCCAAGTGCATATTTATATATGAATTTATAAATCTTAGAAATAGAGTTTTATGGAAATGCTAACAGGCCCTGAGGTATAGCTGAACTTGTTTTCAGGTGCTGCTATAATTTCCAGTGTGTGTATGCTTAAAGACTGCAACACAAAAGGCTTCTTCTAATGCTGTAATTTCATGGTTTTTATTAGACTGAGTTATAGTATGGGAGAATATTCAGAAATTGCAGCTTAAATGAGAAAACGTGAATTGTGTTACTTATATAAAATACTACTGCAATAGTTCTTTTATTAATTTTTAATGTTTAGCACCCTTGTGACCTCCTTTATTCTCTTGCTGTCAACATGGCAGCCTGGAAAAATTGAAATGGGCTGACAGAAAACATCATGCACGTTACAGCCCAACTCTAGAGTCTCCTGACTCTCTTTCTGTGGCACTTGCTAACACGGTCTATGTTATTCTGCATTACAATAATATTTAAGGCCCCGTGTGATAGCTCCTGATAAAAGAGTGCTGTGTCTGAAGCCTGAGTAGGTGCTCCTTGTCAGCCTTCCCCTTTCTGACGCTGTGGGAATGGCATTCAATTAAAAGCAGGATATGACCTTTTGTTGTTGCTGTTTTTTTTATCATGGCTAATAGACATATTTCGTACTCTCAAAGCAGAATACCTCAACATGGACAGAGCTTTATTTGTGTCTATCCAGCTTCTTCCAAAAGCACATTTTGGTTTAATTCAGCAACGCTTTTCTTAAACAGGGAAACACTGCTATCTTCTGTGTATTTACCACTTTCTCTATCACCAAAGAGATTAATCACCATACCATTACAGTCAAGAACCTCACAGCATTGTCTTTGCAAGATCAACTTCACGTTGTCACAGCCACAGGATGTGCAGGGCAAAGATGCTGAATGGGACCTTGGGATAAAAACTTCTCCTTGTTTTTTAAATGCAAGTGTTTGGTGATGAGAAAGAGTGTATGAAGGTGTGAGGTCTGCAAATGTCTTAGCTGAAGCTTAAATGCAATGCTTTAATGGTTTGTTTAGGGCAGTTGTGAAAGCAAGGCTTTTTGAAGAAGGTAGATTTAAAAATTCTAGGAAGAGTGGAAACTCATCCAGACTATGAAAAAGACATTATAATCAGGGTGCTTATATTTTTCTCTTGAAGAGCCCTGGTATAAGCTTTACTAATAAGTGGCAAGACAATTGTGACAATGAGAAATTCTGAGGAAAGCACAGACCACAAGAGAATAGAATTTGTATAAGACCCTACCTCGGCACTCTCATCTTGTGCTGTCACTTGAGCCTTCACATTCAGTCTGTTCCATCTGTCGGAACTATTAGCAATATTGACCAGCCATGAGTTATACAAATTTGGGATCATAAAAGACACGATGCTTTTGCTTGCAATACGATCTCATGATTTTTCAGCAACCTCCAAGGAAGCATAATGCAAAGAGAGGGCAACACCTACCAGACACTCCTCCATATGTGGTCCGCTTTCCAATACCCACTGCTGGCCAAGGTGTGCCATCGGCTTTTAATCCCATCAGGCCTGAGACAGTGTTGGTGGCTGTAACGCCATCTGCACCACCTGTGAAAAACACATTGTTTGCCTGCAGTTCTTAAAGACACAATGGTAAAAACCCATTTGAACCCCCATCATCCAGGAGAATGCACACTCTACTTTCTCTTGAGAATATTTCATCCCCTCAAGTATCTTTACTATTTTAATTCTTATGATTATGCTTAAAATTCTAGGCATTAAAAAATTTAATTACTATGATTTCATTTTCCTAATTATTATAAAGACTTGTTGATGCCAAATACTTTGCATTCAGTGTCATTTCCCAAGTAATTTACAATGTCTTTGCAAGCCAGGGTGCAATTTCCATGGATGGAATACAAGTATTTATGATTTGTAAAGTCATGCATTGACTTCATGGTTTATATATTCAACAAATATTTAATGAGCATGTGTTTAAGGAAATGTACTAGACCCTATCAAATATAAAAGGAACTCAAAAGAAATTTCACATTGTGGGAGCTGGTATCTTTTTTTTTAACTTTATTAAAGGTTCAAATGCTATTGATGAATTGTTATATTACGAGGTCATTTATTTTGGAGTGGTTTGCTGACTGTGGTTTTGTCTCAATTCTTTATGTGTGAAACAAGTATTTTTTAGGAAAAATTACAAATGATCTTTTGCTCCCAAGCCAAAGTTTGGGAGCCTTTGGGTCCAGATTTAAATCTACTGCACATGTGAGATTAAGTGCTCAATTTAACACTTTCCTTAAAATCTAAACAAACATATACACATATGTTTGTGGAAAAAGACCTACTCTAGTACGGCTACAAAATTCAGGCCAATATTTGCAAAACTAGGCAAATGATGCAATACCAGTTCTTACCTTCCTTTGCGGCTCTTGCGATGCTTACAATATCAGTGACATTTGGGGTCAACTTGGCAAAAAAAGGAATCTGAACAGCTTGCCTAACCCAGCGACAGATGTTCCGCACCAGCTCTGGATCCTGTTCAAATAGGTCAGTTAAATATAGAACATAATTAAAGAATTGTGATCAAAATGTGTACTGGAACAACAGCAAAGCCAGAGATGTGCAAGACAAATCCAACTTGACAATGAGGTACATGATATATTTCTCAAATTCCTCCTCAGTATTACACCTAGACTCATTAGGGAACTGAGGTTAACACACTTCAGGTGAACTGCAAGCTCATCACATAAAGGTTAAATTCCTCAAGGGAGCCTTTGGAAAATAAAATTACAAAGAGCCAAATGGAAGAATGTGTTTTCCACTTTCAGTTGAATAATATCAGGAATGAAACATAAACTTCTGGTGGTAAGTTCAGGAAACATTACAGAATTTCTAGTGACCTCATTGGTTTAAGCCTAATAAAAAAAGATTTAAACTGCTGACTCCTGGGTGAATGATATCAAATCTGAAGCATGTTGCTTTCATTATTAGAAGGTTTAGTCTTGTTGAAGTGTATTCAAAAGAAAACCTGAGACTTCATCATCAATCTGAACGTGATATATGCTATATGCTAATGTGGAGTAATTCAGCCTTGGATTATACATGAGCTGATCAGTAACTTTCTGTTACTTTTGTAAATGTTACCAAGTTCTGTGCAGCATTTTTCAACACTCATCTACTTGAAAGAATTGATCAAAATGACAAAAACGAAATAAAATATCAAATGCTCATTTTTAAAAGTAAGGAATAGACATTTTCCTGCACCCGTTTTCTGTGATTTTTCAGGCTTTTATTTTCTCATGGGCAAAGTATCATTTAGAGGGCAAACACCTATCCTTTCCATTGAAATAACTTAGCTGTAGTAATGTTCTTTGGTTTTAACACATAAGATAGTTCTTTTTTTCATCACTTTTAGTGCAAAATTTATTCTGACAGGTACTGATAATGTGCTTTGATAAATTACCTTAAAATATTCAATAGCAATTCATTATTGAACTTGGTAATATTATCTTAGCAAGTTAAAATGTTTTTGAATAAAAGAAAAACCCATAAAAATATAGGCTTATATTTAAACTACGAAATAGTAGGCAAGTATATCATTTGTAATTAATATTTTTATATGTAAGAAAGTTGCTCTTTGCATTTTAACCTTTAGAATTCTTTTAAGATGAGATTTCTAACGTTATAACCTTTAGAAAGAACCTTTTCATTTAGGTTTAATGTGTCCTGATCCGTCATCCTGCATTATTCTAAAAGTTACGCGTTTTTGTGCTAAGATACTGCAATGAGGTAATTTCTGTTGACTGTTATCATCTCTATTCAGCAAAACTTAATACTTTTAACAAGAAATCTTTGGTTTGGCTTGTTCTCTTTTCAGAACAGTAATTTCTTCATTAAACATAAATATTAAGAAAGTACTATACGGAATGCTCTACAGGGCATACTGTGCATTATGAATAGTAAAATCTGGAGATTTAACAGTACAAATTCTAACTCATGAAAATGGAGATCTGCCCCTGCCCATGCAATGGTCATGAAATATTTATAACCGCTGCATTGGCATTATGAAGGCAGTTGCATCTTTGTGATTTCATTTCTAAGTTATGAATTTCCATGGGACTTAGCCTAGAAATGACAGTAACTCCAGATGATATGAATTGCATGTCCTTTGTGAAAGCTCTCTTTAAGGTAGAGTTTGACAATAATTTAAAGATCATTTAGATTACCTAATACATGGAAGGTAGCCTGATAAGAATTACTGAAATAAATTTAAAATATCATTTGGTTCCAATAGAGCAAACACTAATCATCTGATATAGGCTTCTAAGTGACTTTAATACTATTGACCACCATGTCTTTATAACTTACTTTGAACATTTGTCAGACTTTTTTCTGTTGATTTTCTCTCATCGACTACCTTAAATGAGCACCTCTTACCCATTGTCTAACAATTTGGAATTTGTTCAAAGTTTTTCAGTTCCTTAAAAATATATGTGCCCTTGGTTACCATTATTTACTTGAATCATCTGTCTCTATTTTGAGATACTATAATTTGACTCTCCTATAGTTCTATGAGTAAGGGTGTTCAGATATATTTTTCTTGTCCTCATACTCAGCCAAGCCAGATACTGACTAATCATCATAGCCAACTGAAACACAATTTGATTACCTGAGAATTTTAAAAACAACTTCTGACCATCATTATTTTGAAAATTGAGTGTTCTGTAAATTGCAAAGTTTTGTTTGACAGGTATAATAGGGAATATTCTAATACAACTATAAAGGTGGTGAGGCTAATAACATGATAAAATGAATTTAGATACTCTGGGGAATTAAAGGATAGACTATAACGTCACACTTTCCTGGTTTCTTTGCACCTTTGATATGAACGTTCGATATGTAAAAGCAATTAATAGTTTTTCTGTATCTTGACCTTCTCATTTTCTAATGATAGCATCAGATGGCTTTACCTTTAATAAGAAGCCAGTTTTTGGAATCTTATTGAAATGAGTAAACTTTTAACAATTTGTAATACCCCTCAAAATCTTTCAGGATAGGAAACATACAAAGGAACTATTATCTCTCAGACAAATTGAGACTTTAATGTTATTAACACCAACAAAAAGCAAATTAAAGCAATTCTGAACTGTTCTTCCATTTCCAGGTACTCATAAAATATTTGTTGTGTCAATAAATGAAAAATAAATGAAACCAACACATTTTCAATGTATTTCTTTATATTTCCATCAAAAAACCTAGACTATATCTAGATTTAAGAAAATCCAGATATATTTTATGATAGATAATGTCTCAAAGCATAAAATTTAAGAAGACTACTTTACAGACCTGGGGTAATTCTGAAGAGAAATGATGAACAGTTATGTCAAAAAGGATAGCTTAAATCTTCTAAAGTGTCTAGTACACAAAAAGTCTATCTGAATCAACACGTTTGTATTGGCTCTTTCTACAGGTGTCAATAATGCCCACTCCTGACCATGATTTGCAATCTCTCCCACATAAGCTGCTTGTGTGAGTTGTGCGGGGTGTGTGTGTGTGTGTGTGTGTGTGTGTGTGTGTGTGTGTGTGTGTGTGTGTGTGTGTGTGTGTGTGTGTGTGTGTGTGTGTGTGTGTGTGTGTGTGTGTGTGTGTGTGTGTGTGTGTGTGTGTGTGTGTGTGTGTGTGTGTGTGTGTGTGTGTGTGTGTGTGTGTGTGTGTGTGTGTGTGTGTGTGTGTGTGTGTGTGTGTGTGTGTGTGTGTACTTCAACACCTATTAACCCTTCTGTTGTTCATGTGATCACCAGAGGAAGCTCTGAGGCACCAGTGGGTTTCCTGTGATGAAGGTTATGGCCTTATAAGTAAGAGGGCACTGAGACCTTAAGGGAATGAGTGACGGACCTGGAGAGCAAACAGTGGTCTTGAGGATACTACATGAGGTGAAGGGACCAGACCAGACTTGTGAAGTGCTGAAAAGAGAATGAAAGCAAGTACAGACAGATTTGGCAAATTTAAAATTTTTAATGAGGAGCAGCCAAGTGTCTGCAATCAGTACGCTTTAGATTCCTATGAAAACCAAATAATGACCAGAGCAAAAACTAGAAAATGGAGTGCTGAGTACAGCACTTGCTGCAGTAGTTTCCATTGTGCAAAAATGGCTGTTTTTAAAGTTTAATTTCCCATCTGGGCCATAAGATAATTTTTAATTCTAGTAACTAGTGTATCTCTAGTTGCACATTAAGAGGGTTGTATAAATATCCACCTTGCTGCTTTCAAGGCCCTTAAGATGATCTCTCTATTGTAGGGCAGACATTTCCACCAATTACTTAGAGCATCAAATCTCATTGGTTTCATGCTCTCGACAAAGGAATGAGCACTATAGAATGAGACTGAGAATTTCTTGATAAGCTAAATTACAAGTGAAATTTTTGACTTGAGGAAACATATTTCTCCAATTTACCTGGTAATTTTCACTCTGTACAATTCTTTTCAAAATAGCTGTCTTAGAAGCTGGCATTTCAATGAATCCACTGAAAAACTTTACCGGTTATAAAATGTTTTCCACTAAGGAACTCCTAAGTCTTAATTCACATGACATAGCAAGAGATGGCTAGCATTTTTATTATGTCCACTTTTCTGATGGAGAGAACTGGGGCCCAGAAGATCCATCTGAGTACCAATTTCATCTTCTTAATTTTCTTTCCCATTATCATGTCCCAAACCATCATTTTCTTTTGAAATTGCTCCCTAAAGTGAAATTCAGCCATCAATTGTAAACTAGAACTATAAAAGCCTTCTACTTCATTTAGAAGTAGAACTATAAAATGCTTCCACTACCTCTATAAGACTAGATGTCGCTGCAAAATAATAGGCAAAAGTGATGTATTTATCCTTTTATGTCAAAACAATAGGACAGAAAGAGCTAACTACTCCAGATGGTCACTCACTCCAGATATAACTGTTAGCGAATGAAAGGATTTTGTCTTGGTATGGAGATGTTTTAAATTAACTTGTGTTTTAGCATGTGTCCTTCTTGCGTCTGTTTTCCTGATAAGAATTCCAATAGTGGTACAACCACTTTGGAAAACAGTTGGACAGTTTCCCGTAAAGGTAAACACGGACTTACCAATGAACCTAGAGAATCCAAAAGACATGAGAAAATGTCTCAACACAAACATTTGCACATGAATGTTTATAACATTTTCAAAATAGCCCCAAATTGGGAACAACCCCAACAATGAACCTAGAGAATCCAAAAGACATGAGAAAATGTCTCAACACAAACATTTGCACATGAGTGTTTATAACATTTTCAAAATAGCCCCAAATTCGGAACAACCCCAATTATCTATCAATATGTGAGTGAATAAACAAATTGTGGCATATCCACACATGGAATACGACTAAGCAATAACAAGAAACAAACTACTAAATTATGGCACAACTTGCAATTAATTTTAAAAAGTTATGTTGAGTTAAAGAAGTACACTAAAGCATAAATTCTATATGAGTAAAATTATATGAAATTCTATAAAAGGAAAACCTATGCAGACAGAAAGCAGAGCAGTGGTTGCTAGG